TTGTGGCTTCACCACCTCAATTTATGTTTAGAATTATATTCCACACCTTTTATTGTTGCTGCATCTGAGAATACAGACAACAAAAAGAATGAATACAATTCCTGGCATATTTCATTATAACTTCTGTCTGTTGTCCATGACATGCCTTATTTTTTTTTGAACTTTAGTTGATTGACAGTTGCTCTTCTAGTGTGCTGCAAAGTTGCACTACTACTACTCAGAAATTGCAGGGATCTGTAACATTTGAACTGTCACCTTGCTATGTGTTTAGCTGTGATGATGATTTGTAGTCTTCACTATATCCTTACTGCATATGAAGGCTAAATTCAAGTAAAATAGCAGTTTTGGTGCAAGGTTTAGATCATCATTAATGGTAAGCAGTGCTCAAAATAGCAACAGTCACAGTGGTCAGTACCACTAATAGGCTTTCATGGCTTATGTCGTTTCTGTTGCAGTTGATGTAATGGATGTCTCCTCTGAAACAGCTCTTAATTCTGCTATAGTTGTTAAATGATTCAGTATTTAATAAAAAAAATATGATATTAAAGATTTAAGGAATGTATACTGGTACCAAATGTGGCAAGGTTCATGCAAATCAGTGAGAGACAGTTGTTCCTGAAAGATTTTTCTTTCTCTGAAGTTCAGATAGGGGTGAGAGGATGTGTCCTGCCTGATTATATGTCCTGCTACCAGTTCTTCAGTAATTCTGTCATTTGGAAAGCTGTGTGCATTTGGTTTAGATAAGATAATTCATAATAGGAAAATAAAGGTAGTGCTGTTTGACTACAGTAGAAGAGGATGCTGGCTTCTATTAAGGAGTGTCCTATTGATGACTTTGATGAAGACAGTAGAATTTGGCCAATCTTGAGTTGTACCTGAGACTTGGTTGGTAGGTGTTCATGGTCACCTCCTTATGGAGGCAAAGGCACTGCTCTTCTATGACTAACTAGAGGAGGTGCTTCACCACATTCACCCTTCTGGCATCCACCCATTTGACACTTAGAACTGCCGTGTCTCTAATTGTTGATGAACAATATCAAACTAATTTCCAAACAATTGTTCTCAACTAATTTGTAGTTCACAAGTTACTGTTTTTGTTTCAGATCTGAAGAAAGATTTATACAAAACATTGCCAGCCTGGCAGTATGAAAATATTTGGGAAAATTTTGGTCTAATTATATTTTTAGAGAGAGACAAGCTATACATGTGAGTGTGTTAGTTCAGTGTGTATTTGTAATGTCAGTATCTTCTGCTTGGCACATTCTGAAAGTTAAACTTCTGCGCAACATTGCAAAGGAGTTTCAAGATGAATAGTGTGCAGTGGGGATGGAGATGGACACTGGTGGAAGTAAGTGCAGGGAAGCAAGAGCAGTGATAGGATGTTGTTACTCAGTGATGAGCAGTGCTGCACATGAAGAAAGTATCATTTTCTTACTCATCTATTTCTGCCATTGCTTCTTGCTTTATTTTTCCTCAGTTCATCCTTTTCTGAATACTCCTTTCACTTCCCTCTGCATATCCAGCAGATTTCAGTCTGGTTAGTTCTGTTTCATTCTCTTTGAATAAAACTTGGAGTTTCTGCCAGGTGGAATGAGTCTGGAAGAAGGAAACCTTGCAAAAGGCAGAGGCAGCACAAAGACCTTGCAGTTGAAGTGGTAGACTAGAATTAGTGCTCTGTTCACAGGTAGAAACAATGTTAATTTTGGGAAAACAGCAAAATGGTCTCAGGTCCCTGCTAAATCTTTCTTTCTGACTTTGCAAAGCCCAGTGTCATCATATTTACTCATGGAATATAGTATTCAGTCTTCAACTGGGCAGCATGTGTACAGAATTTCAAATGATTTTCTGTAAAATACATTTAAATATGCACAAGAGGAAAACACAGTCTTATATAAATTCAAGTGGGAAGCTATGATTCTTTCTTTATATTTCATATTTCTTGTATTTTGTGTATTTCTCTCTCTCTAGTGTTGTAAAAAACTATTTCTGTTATTGCTATTGATGAGAGTATTGCCTAATAATTAGCATTTCATTTTTATGCCCACATAGAAAGTTACTGCTAACCAATCTTCATTACAGGTGGAATTGCCTTGTATGGTCTCAGAGGGCTCATCCTCTGTACAGGACAAGAAAAGAGGTGGTAAAAAATGTTGGGGCACCTTGAGAGGGAGTGAAGTCTATAAGATCATAATTTCAGGTCTTTTCTAAACATATTCCTTAATGAAATGGTGAGCAAGAACTTCTTGAAACTCACTTTCTATCAATTTTGGCAGTGCATCTTTTACAGCTAGTAGCAAAAGTTAACTTTTACGTACAAGTTGTATCAAAGAGTTTAACGGAAAAAACTTTAGGTATCTAGTGGGGCAGTTGGGAGCAGTCACGACATAGTTTAGCTGTGCTCTGAGTCTGTAGGGTGAGATGTACTAGCACAGGATTGTGTCAAAACTGCAAGATTTCTTAAGAAAGCTGACCTGTAGATCCCCACACCCAGACTGTGGGTAAAATTTCCGTGGCTGGCTGTCCAGCCCACAGGAGCTGTCTCCAAAGCCCTGTGCAGAGGCTTCTGTGCTCTACAAAGGCACATGATGCACATGCTGGATCAGCAAAGAATGGGGAGGATCTGTCTCCAGAGATGACTTTGGTCTCACTGCACTGCTCTCCAGAAATGGCCATGATGACTGTTGAAGACACTGGAAACTGAAACGAAAGGTACAAAGATAAAATGTAGTGAAAGTATTGATTGAAATTTTCAGATATAACCACCGAGTTTTTGGAATTTAATGAATAAAAAGGCGCTGTTGATTGGGAAAATGTCTACTGAGTTCTTTCAAAGAGCCTCAGAGAACGTGTTTCAAAAATAGTGCTGCTAAAACTGATAGTGACTTAAGAAAATCCTGGTAACTGGCTGACATTGTTCAAAATCCTTGACAGTTCTAAGAAAAAAATACACCTTTTCTCTACAAAACAAAGCTCTGGTTTCTGGCCCCTCATTTTTCAAGACTGTACTTTTAATGCAGTCCTTTCACTGAATCATTTGAGCGCTTTTCTTTTTCCGTCAACAACTCCCACATCCCCTTTGAGGTTTTATTCCATTCTGTAGACTAGTTCACTAGTTTAGGCTTGGAGCTTTGTTATTCTAATCTCATGTTGAGAAAAGACCTTCTGGTCAAGCTTCGAAGTTTAACAACAATGCCAATACTCCGGTGTTGGGAAAAACTTTGAATGCATTTTTTAAAAATGCCATTGCTAGATATTTGGTGTAGATTTCAGCTGAGTACACCACAATTAGACAGAGGCTGAAGAAACTAATTGAAAGATTAATGTTAAAACTTGGAAAGAAATATGAATGTCTGATTTTTTTGAAAGATATATATAAATTTCTCTTACATGTAATGGAAGTTGATGCAGATACATATTATAGTCTCTCCAGTGAGTATTAAACAAGATTAGTATTGATCCTACAGAGGCCCAAACACTCAGTTCTTAGATCTGCTTTTCCCATCCAACAGTTGCTGTTGGATTCAGCACCTTTCAAGGATTAATACAAACTCTTAAAATATTTTCCTTCTGTTCTTTTATCAGTGAGTTGCAAGACGGCAGCTACTTGATATAATCCATTTTCAATTTAGTAGGAAATGTAATATACTTCTGTTCTGGAGGAAAATTGGGAAGTAATTACTGTAGAATTAAATCCTGTTGCTTCTGTGAAAATAAACAATATAGGAAGTGTCTGGGGACTTGCAGTAGGACACATAATCCAACAGTACTCATTCTTCTTTATAGAACTATCTAATTAGGAGTTAACGAACAAAGTATTGGACTGCTTGCAATTCCATACACTGATTTTCTGCAAGAGTTGTAGAAAGTTTCTTTTGCTTCCTCTGAATCTTCTTTTTGCTCTGTTTATGTCTGGATAATAAGCAATTAAATTCAGTACCTTCTTAATTCAGTTGTTGGTTTGATTGTCTCTTCTGTGGAGTCAAGACTGTTTCTTCTAGTATAGATTTATAATTTTTTCTTACTAAATAAAAAGGAAAAAAGAAGGAAAAATAAAAATAAAAAATATTAACTATAAGTTGAAATAAAGAAGGGGCAGAAGTACTCTCATCTGAGGTCAAACCAGTTTTGCCTCATGTGAATCTGTGTCTGCCTTGTCCTGGGTTTCTTTTGGAGAGAAAAGAATTTGAGTTTTTTAATTGTGCTGAACAAGTACTAGACAAGGGCCCCATGTGTGAGCCACAGGCTTTACATTCCAACCATTCTCTTTTCAGTCCTATTGAGGACTTGTCATCTGGGATTTCTCAGCACTGAACTCTCTAAGATTCCTGGACAGAGACTGTATTGGAGACAGAGTCATAAAGCATGGCACACTGCTGTGCCCTGTTTTGACTCTGCCAGGATTTCTGGTTTAAGACAAAGACCCTCAGACTCTCCCAACCACTTATGAGGTATAAAGACAATTTAAAAGTTGTCCAATACACTTATAATGGGATGAGTAACAATTAGCTATTGAACCTATAAATCTCCTTTATTATACATACTAATGAATTCAGGGTTATGGACAAAAATACTTGCAAGATTCATAAATATTTGATTGTTTTGAGATACAGATGTCAGTGGCTTTGTTTTTAATGTACAGTACTAGAATCAGAGAGAATTTTAATATTGCTAAAATTATGCTAAAGTGCTGTTGGAACTTCAGGCAAGATATGTCTAACTTGAGTAGTAAATCTATTTCATTTCAAAGGAATACAGCAATAAAACCCCTGAAGCAAGTATTACCTGAAGGTAATTGACTGCATCAATGAGTTAAATGTTCCAAGGAAAAGAAAAGACTGTTTCTAGCTGACAAGGTCAATTATCCCCTCACTGTGTCCTTTTCGGGTGGTACTGGCATTCCAAACACATCCAAAAATTGTTATCAATTTTTCTGCTCTCAAAAGTTTTTTTTTACCTTTTTAAATAAAATTCCTATTAACTATTTTTAGAAAAAACAGATACTGGAGAAATTTCCACTGGAGTAATGCACAGAAATAGTATTAATCCTGTGGATATACGAATTTCACTTTCAAGTGGCGGTTACATATCTATCATCACTACTCATTGGGTAGAATCATATAATGGAATTTTTGGTTTTTGTTGTTTAAAAAACATTGAGTGTAAAGTGGTACTGTGTGATAAATGGAGTAGTTAAAGGTTAGTGTAATGTAATGTAATGGCCAGTCTTCGCGAGCGAAGATTTGGGAAAGGTCATTAACCCTTCGAGCCTGCGCAGTGGATTTTTTAGGTGAGACATAGCGTGCGCTGAACTGAGCCCACCCTTTAATCCTGAGGTTCATCTGCCAGGGCTGAGCAAGCTTGGACAGTGGCAGTGAGGGTCTCAGGACGTAGGTTTGTTTAGAGTGACCTTCTCTTAGATGGATTGCCTTACAAGGCTGACGAGCTCCATCTGCCCGGGGGGCTGGGAATCGAACCCGGGTCGCAGCGGTGAGAGTCCTGCACCCTAACCACTAGACCACCAGGGGCCCCAAAGGTTAGTGTACCATTTTTGTATTTGGGCATCCCTGTAAGCCCTACTTCTATTATGGATGGAATCCTGATGAAGCAGGAAGAAAAAAAAATGTATGTGGGCCCAAACAAGGTGTGCTGAACCAAACAGGGAATTGGTAAAAGGTCAGCCCACTGGATCCGAAACCAGTAGGCAGGGTTCTTTCTTGGTTTGTTTGTTGTTTGTTTTTTTTCCAGATGTTCAAGTTCAGCTGGTGAGACCCACACCTGAGAAAAGCCTCCTGTGCTCTCTGTGCCTGAGGAACAGGAAGTAGATGGGCTCTGTCAGGCTCTCTCTCCCTGAGGAAAACCCTCAAACTCTTTCCATAGCTGTTTTGGACTTGATGCCCCTCATATGGTCTTTACAGTGAAGAAACACAGACCATGGCACATCTTTTATTCTCTTTTAGGCTTTTTATCCCCCCTTGGCAATACTGTATATAGATTGTACCTTTTCCTGTGTCTTAGTTTTCTGTTCATTTATTTCATAAACTTCTTTGGTTGGGAATAAAATCTTTATTATAGCATTTGAGTTTCATCTGTTTTCCTGCAGCTTTTCTCTCAAAAGCAACAATTGCCATGTCCTGATAACACCAGATTATTCATCTGTGTCCAATTTGAAGTTAACATTCTGCTTTCTTTAAAATTGATAACCCAATCACTTTTTAGTGCAATGTTGTTCATTTCTTCTAATATGTTAATAATGCTGTTTCTAGCCCTGCTCGTGCTGTTTGTACTCTGTTAATGTTTGCATTTGTTTGGGAAATCATGGAGCGTCTTTATTGTTTTATATTTAAGTGACGTGCATATTATTGGCTTGTGAATCTGCCAGATAATTTAATGGTCTGTGCAGCTTTTTGTCTTGTTTTGACTCCAGTGTTAGACTCTGCAAGTCCTTCTTCTCTCTCTTGCTCTGGCATTTTGTTATGTTTCCAGTGCTGTAGGTTGCTCTGTCATCAAATTTCGTGTCTAGTTGAGTGATATTTGAATGGGAAATTTATTATTTCCTTAAAGGTTCTGGGTCATTTTGTCCCACACTCCCATTTTTTTTAATTGGATTCTTTCTAGAATAAGTTTAAAAACCATATTTATCTTCTCAGTCTTTAGTTGGAGACTCCTTCTGCCTTCACTTACTCTTTATACTGTCTATTTAAAAGTGTGCTGAAGCCATTTCAGAATTAGTAGCTTGGAACAACAGTGTCCTGTGGCTGTCTTCCTTTCTCTCTTGAATCCACTTCTAGGAGACAGAAATGGAAGTGCTCTTTTAAACCTTCTTTCATGTCCTTCACATTTCCAAGACATTTCACTGTTAACAGATAATGAGAGTATTTTCTTAGCTTCATGTGCTCCCTGATACCTTCTTCAGTAATTGTTCAAAAGGAGATGCCTGCTTTGCTGGCTGTCTTATAGGGTGTCTGAGTAGGATACTGCACGTGTGATAAAAGGAGAAATGAGTGGTGAAAGGAAAAAGGAAAAGGCCTCAGAGGTGGAAATGCCTTGAGTCTGCCCAGGCAAGAAAACATCAAAGTCTGTGTGAGTCAGAGAGCACTGCTCTGTGGCAGCTGGAATAGAACTGTGGCTGGAAGATATCTGAGTTCAGTGTCTGGCCGAAAGCAGGGCCAACTTCAAACTTAGGCCTATATCCTTGTCCAGTTGTCTTAGTCTGCACTGACTGAAGCACTGAGTGCCAGTGCTTGCCTACGTTGGCCTCTTCATCTGCAGTCCTGTCTCCATGCCCAGGGCATCAGTTTGAGAATTCATGTGACCACACTGAGACTAAGGAAACCTATTTGGCTAAAAATCAAACATTAAGTGACTTCAAGAGAAATAATAACAACATTGGTATTAACAACATCCTCTCTTGACTTTTTCCTGAGAGAAGTAAGATGGATAGATGCAGAAAAGAAACAACCACTTGGCAAGTGCAAACGTTGTCCCTTCTTTCTTCCCTCCACAATGCACACACAGGTGAACGGTGTAGAAAACTTCTTGCATTTAAGCATGTGAAAAATTTCACCAATGTAAATTGTGCTTTGGAAGAATGGACAGCACAATCAGAAGCTATTAAATTCTTTTTACTTCCCCAAACAATCCGCAAAATAAAATTTCAAAATGCTAAGTACCTTTCTCAGCAATATCTCAAATTTAGGCTTCATGTAAAAATGTGGTGGAAAAACAAGCATTTGCTGTAATTTTTCAAAGCTCACTGAAAGCTACAGTTCATGTCAAATTCTAAATCTGGATTTGTTCTGAAAAATGTATGTGAAATCCAAACTGTGGTGTTTAGTAAACAAACAAAAGCCTCACAAAACCTTTCTGTCTCAGATATTGCTCAGCTTTTCCATAGCCTAATATTAAGCTCAATGACAGCCAAAATGTTCTCTGAGGTTTATTCTTTGGTATAGAAAAACCTTTAATTTACCCTCTAGGATATTTGAACTTAGAATGGAGACCTGTCACATTCACTCTGATTCTGTGTGTCAGTCTGCTAACTCTCATGCTGTTCAGTGCTTTACACTGCTTATAAATAACTTTAAAATGATTTCTGCTGCACTGCATCAGGTTTCTGATGCACATACCATGATAACAGGACAATAAAACATCAAGGGGATGAAGCTTTAGCAATAGATAGTATTTTAAATTCAACAACCAGCTCTAGTTCAGAGATCCTGATTTTCTGTTATTTAAATCCTTGGGTTTTTTCATCACAAGGACAATGTGGTCAAAGAAAATGCGTGTGGGGTTGGAGCTGGGGGAGTGTTTGGTGAAAGGGGAAGGTTTAGGTGTCGTAAAGGTGTATGCAAAAAAATAGACAATTCTAATTTATATTCTGTTTTTCATCATTCTCTGAATGTTCATTTGTTTTCTGTGGTTTCTTTGTTTCTGTCCTTTCCTTCCCAAGCTTCTAAGTGAAGCATCAACTCGAAAGATTTTGAGTTTCCTTTTCAAGGTTTGTATATTATAGTGGAGCTGAAACTTAATAAATTGGGCCATCTGAATAGCATAGAGTATTATAACTGTAAATGCCATTCTCAAGTAACTAATACTGTCTTTGTATTGCATGCAATTTTCATTTGAACAGTTTCCTTAGTATAAAATGGTGCTTAGTAACCTGAGACCTGTGCAAATATAGAAAATACGTATTTTAAGTACTTCCCACATGCACCAGTCCTACCTTCTGTTCTTCCCCCACTAGATACTGGATGAAGCCTAAAGGAGATGCACTTGTGATGTAAAATATATTTTTCTGAAGATTTAAACTACTTTATTCAGTAGTATTATTCATGATTTTATTTGATCTTGGTTGTTTGCTCTAGAGATCAAAGAGTTCCTTTTTAGCAATTTATTTCATCCAGTGTTCTGTACTTTGTAATGACACAGAGCTTCATTGGGATCTTAAAATTTAAAGTCTTAAAGATATTTGGTAAATATAACTATATTTTAATTCAACTTATTTTTTCAGCTCAACTTTCCTTTTATTTGCTATCAAAATATAAGAAGTTTTAACATCTGTTATAAACTGCTTCCCTGGAAGAAGAGGCCTCTCTATACTGTTATAGAGCAGTTGTCCTCTTACACTGAGTAGTTCAAACTATATTCTGTACATAAATATCTGCTTGCAAATTGCTACAGTAAAATAGACATTTTTATTCCAGACTTGTGAAATATTATATTCATTAAAATAATCATATGGTAAAAAACTCAAGTTTCATAAAAATATGAATGCTATTGGAAGTGCAGCTCAAATTGAAGTTAACATTAAATGTCTGTATTTATGACAGCAAAATGTGCTTTGAAAACAAGACACAACTTAGGTTCTACAAAGATATTAAAGGAAGACCCTTCTAATGGATAGTAATTTAGACACTATGTATGTCTTCAGCTGCAAATTGAAAGCTGGCAAACTTTGAGATTGAGTATTTTGGAGGCAGTAAAAGTTAAAAGCTAGAAAAACAACATTAACTGCTATGAACCGTGAACATTACAGGTGTCAAGCATCTCTCAAAAACAGTCACATTGTTGTAGAGCAATGATTGCAGGAATGGTTGATATGCTGACTCAGCTCCTCTTTCAATTGACAACAAATTCATCATTCAGCAGATACCCTGACACCATCTGTACTTGTGTAATGAAATTTGCATGGTTTATTCTGTGTGAATGCAATGTTTCAAATTATAATCTAATATTCTTCAATTCTGACAACCTTCCACTGAATCTATAGATTCTTGCTTGTCTTACTGATACGTGGTCTTCCATGGTAATCAGTGAATTACTTTGGCAGCTGATCATACTATGTACTGTACAGTGGATTATTCAAACTGCAAAGGTTTCACGTAAAATGGTCTGCTTATCACCATCAATGTAAAGCAACAAGAATGAACAGGAAACAATAAAATGCAATCAAATTCATGAAGGAAGTGCAATGTAGTTTTCTATGACTTGCTGAAAAACTTAGGTCATGTCGATGATATAAATAACTTGTGAAAATTTAATGTGCCGCATTACTTCCAGAATTGTAAATATGCTTTACTGAGCTAGAGAGTCAGTTTATCAGCAGCTATCAACCCTCTTAAAGCTCTCAAGAATCTGCTAAACACAGGCAAGTGCCAAATAACATTTCTTTTGTGGTTTGACTTTGAGAGTCACAAAAAGTACTCAATCTGACTTAGTGCATGGAACCTGAGTGCCATTTAAACTGTCCAAACAAGCAGCATGCATTTTTAAACACTAAGTAGATGTTAAATAATAAAACCTGTTTTATTTTTGTTGTATACACCACCTAATGTATAATTAAGAGCTTTAAGGGATGTTCTCTAGTGAGTTTGCTTAATGGGGCTGCATTCTGTATGAAGAGCTTCATCAGAAATGTGTACTGGCTTGAGCTATGTGCAGCTGTGCTGAGCTTCTTAGGATTGCAGAATTTACTATTTGTATGGAAAATGTCTTAAAAATGCATAATGCATACAATTTAAATCGTGTTTAAATATGAACAAAATTATGAACAGACACAGCTGTGTTTGGATGTGTATTCTTTGTCACTATCTCACCCTGTAGGTTTATGTCTGTCTTCACTCCCATAAGAAAAGAAGAGGAGGAGATAGTTGCAAAGAAATTGTTTTACTTGCTTGATTAAAGCACACTAACAGTTCCACTAATTTATGTGATCACATTAAGACTTTCTGTCTTTGTCAACCCCAGCAAAAATCAATGTGACCTAACATAAAAAGTTTAAAATTACTAAAAGGAAAGTAGTAGATCTAGTGATGGTGAAAGTATTGCACTGAAATGTCTCTAAAACTGCTTGGATAGTTCCTATATGTTGACATTGGAGCCAGCATATTAGTATATTTATTGCTAATTATGTTTTGAGTCTGCACAGGGATATTCAAGGTGTGTTTCCTGAAGACATTAACAGATAATTGCTACTCTGAGAAAAGAACCATCTTCTTAATGTAACTGATACCTGGTAAGTGACAGTTAAGGAGTAGTCGTGTAAACTAGTGATATTGTAATTCTTACTCAGGAA